CTTCTCTGCTTAACCCCTGATCTGACCTCGGCTTGGCTAACGGATATTCTCTCTTGTTCCTCTGTGTATGACCTTGGCTTGGCTAATGGATATTCCCTCTTGCTCCTCTGTGTATGACCACGGCCATCCCATCTGACTATGTCTCTTGTTCCTCTGTGTATGACCTTGGCTTGGCTAACGGATATTCCCTCTTGCTCCTCTGTGTATGCCCTCGGCTATCCCATCTGACTACGTCTGCTCTGATTTCCACCTGGTACCTGACCTCGGCTTTGAACTGGCTATCCTGTGATCCTCTGTTTCCCGGAAGGCTTGCATACCTGGCACAGGCACCACCTGTCTGCAGATCCCAGCTCAGTGCATCAGCTGTGCTCCTGGATGGACCACCAACGAGCACTCCTACGAGCGACCTGTTCCACTTTGGGCCTGGCTCCTGCTGTCCCACTCTCAGGGGAGTCTGGAACTTAGCCGCAAGGGAAGTCCTCTCTCCATTGGCCTCTAACACCAGGTACGTGATATTACAGCACTTAATTGCATCTCACTGATTGGTTGCTGAAGGTTACAGCACATCATCTCCTCACTGCCTGCACACCATGGACTGGGAAAGTGAGGGAACCCACTAATAGACAGAAAACTCCTAGGGATTCTAGGACTCCTGGAATCAGTGGCAGGGCTGGGGGGGGGTGTGATCAGTGGCAGTGCTGGGGGGTAATAGGATCAGTGGCAGTGGTGGGGGGGGGGAAGGGATCAGTGGCAGTGCTGGGGGGATGGGAAAAGTGGCAGTGCTGGAGGGATGGGATGATTGACAGTGCTGGTGGGGGGATGGGATCAGTGGAAGTGTGTTGGATGGGGATGGGAAGTGACATTTCTACATTGACCACCAAAGTAAGAAGGGATTTACATTGACCACAAATGTAATGGGGAATTTGCATTTATGACCAATGTAAAGGACGATTCAACAATGTGACCACAAGTGCAAGTTAAGATTTTTTACTGTGCAAAAATTATGAGTGCAGCGCTAATTAGTATCTAATAGAACCGTAATACAATATATACTCAATCCCCAAAAAAAATCCAAGATACTCAATACATATACAGTGTCATGCATGTATTCCCTCATGGGGAATATCTCGTGCAAAAATGTGAAAATAAAGTAATATATACTATAATAACATATATACTAATAATAAACAGTGCCACACAAAAAGTGCACAAAGGAATGAACGATAGTTCAAATACGAGAAAAGTCCAAAGTTAATAATAATAATACTGATGATGCTGTGCTTAATGATGAACTTCACACTCCACTCTTCATGCAAAATTATGGGCAGTGTACGTGATTCACACGTGACAATCCTTAACAGCCAAAATGCCCCCTCACCTCCTTCCTTAGACCCCAAGGGGCCAGCACGCTTTCAGGATCACACGATCCTATCAGTATGGATCACTCTCTAGAAAATATCTTCCTCCTCCAGCGTCCACCAGTTTAGCAGCCAGCTCCTCCCAGGGTCATAGTAAGACACAAGCAGAGACCCTCCATAGTGCAACCAGTAATTTTATTGGTAATAGGTATAAAAAGTAGATTTCCACTCACAAAACGATGAATCTTCCAGCCTCCTACCACATGCTATGGGTGTACTGCATGGGTAATACACAGGAACACCCTGTGTATTACCCATGCAGTACACCCATAGCATGTGGTAGGAGGCTGGAAGATTCATCGTTTTGTGAGTGGAAATCTACTTTTTATACCTATTACCAATAAAATTACTGGTTGCACTATGGAGGGTCTCTGCTTGTGTCTTACTATGACCCTGGGAGGAGCTGGCTGCTAAACTGGTGGACGCTGGAGGAGGAAGATATTTTCTAAAGAGTGATCCATACTGATAGGATCGTGTGATCCTGAAAGCGTGCTGGCCCCTTGGGGTCTAAGGAAGGAGGTGAGGGGGCATTTTGGCTGTTAAGGATTGTCACGTGTGAATCACGTACACTGCACATAATTTTGCATGAAGAGTGGAGTGTGAAGTTCATCATTAAGCACAGCATCATCAGTATTATTATTATTAACTTTGGACTTTTCTCGTATTTGAACTATCGTTCATTCCTTTGTGCACTTTTTGTGTGGCACTGTTTATTATTAGTATATATGTTATTATAGTATATATTACTTTATTTTCACATTTTTGCACGAGATATTCCCCATGAGGGAATACATGCATGACACTGTATATGTATTGAGTATCTTGGATTTTTTTGGGGGATTGAGTATATATTGTATTACGGTTCTATTAGATACTAATTAGCGCTGCACTCATAATTTTTGCACTGTTTATTCACTTATTTTGGGTATAAGCTTAGTGTCAGCAGCTTATGGTTATAGGGTAGGAGTCCTTGTGAGCGCAGGAGGTTTTTTGTAATTAAGATTTTTTACTGACTACCAGTATAAAGAGGAGTTTCTATAATAGCCACCAATGTAAAGAGGATTTACACTTACATCTAATTTAATAGGACCATTCACAGTGACCACCAATGTAAGAGGGATATTCACACTGACCACTAGTGTGAATGAAAAGATTCTACACCAAGCCCCAAGGTAATGAGAAGATATACACTGACCACCGATGTTGTTGAGACATTTAGCCTACATTCACATTTTTGAGTGTTGGGAACGCATGCAAAATCGCTTTACTGATACCATAGAAATGTGCTGCCCTTTAGCAGATACATAGTAGTGCCATTAATTGTTAATTATTATTATTATTATTATTATACAGTACTTATATAGCACCAACAGTTTGCTCAGCGCTTTACATTATTAATGACACCCTCATGCATCTGCTGACATGTCTGTGTCCACATGCACCAAAATGCACGGTGCTGTGGCTCGGTATATTTTGGAAAAGGGTCGTCTTTATTTCTGCATTTCTAGCGGCTAGAGCAGCCCATTGAAATAAATGGGCTGCCCTATACGTGACATACAGTACAACTTTATCTACCCCATCAGTACACCTTTGCATCCTAGATTTCCCTGCTAACCTCTGCAGCCGAAACCTCCCATATCCTCTTCATACTATCCCCCCCCCACATTATTTCACATGCCTCCTCTGCTCATCTTTTCACCCACCTTCCTTACTTGTGTACATCCCCTCCTTGCTTACCTGTACCTCCAAATTGTAATTCCTTTTCTGCCTGCCTCTACACACACACACTTTACTTATGTTTGTAGAACAGATTGATGACCACAGTGACCACAGTGACCACAGTTGCAGGCAGGATTTTCAAGCATGCCCTTGTTTACCTTCCAGCATTCAGCAGAGGTGATGGTGGCTGGAACTTCAGAGGGGCATAATATATATACATGAATGTGCCACTATTTACATATGAATGTCCCCGCTATTTACAAATCAATGCATTTGGCCCACATCTACTTACATATGAATGCTGGTTATTTACATGTAAACTGGGACAGTTGGCAAGTATAGGGCAGCTTTGACTGGGCCCAGGGCAGCTGCCCCTTCTGCCCCTCCTTAAAGAAAGCCCTGCATATGAATACCGTTTATTTATATGCGAGTGCTGACATGGTCCGCATGTGAATCATGGCAATAGGGCAGACCAGTACAGTAGAAGTGACAGCACTTCACTGAGATATCGGAACACAGCCTGGGACAAAGACTTCAGGGGACAAGAGAACGTAAACTGGGACAGTTGGCAAGTATAGGGCAGCTGCTTCGGGCCCCACAACAATGACTGGGCCCAGGGTAGGTGCCCCTTCTTAAAGACAGCCCTGGCCTGACCCCACAAATGCTCTTCTGGAAGAATGGTCAAATATTTCCATAGACACACTCCTAAACCTTGTGGACAGCCTTCACAGACGAATTGAAGGCGTTATAGCTTCATGTGCGTGTAAAGGCAGATGTGCCAATACTTTTGGCAATATAGTGTACATATACTTAGAGGTAAGGAAAGGTTTCAGACAAGAAGGCACAGACTGGGGGCTTGCTAATCAGAGGAAACCTATCCCACTTGGGACTGGACCGGCCAGGCTGCATTCCCACCCCTGAGACACACTGTCGGCATCTCTCCTCAGCCACTTCTGTGTACTGCACTGAACTTTGAGTTATTCCCTAAGCAGTGCCCTCCTGCTAGGGTGTTTGTACCATTGACATTCTGCTTTATAAAAATTTCAATTTTACAGCAATCTAGGCGTTCACTGCCGCTGCACCACGCAGGACCTCCTCACAGGCTAGAGGCTCTCCCTATTGTAGCACCCTCCTAGATTAGCTAAGGGGAACTATACTCCAATGGTTAGTTAGGAGCTGATTAGCAGCTCAGGTGAGATAATTAGAGGGATCAAATTCTGGTCAGGGCTGAAGGCCAGCCCCTCTGGAATTTCTGCCTGCTCTGAGGCTTTTGGAGGAGGCCTTGAAGGCAGTGGGTGTATCTGAGGAGTGGCTGGCTATACTCTTGAGGGACCTCAGAGAGACAATCCCCAACAGAAGGCTTGGCAAGGGGCTGAGACTCCCTTAAAAGTGGAAGAGCCTGCACAGTAGCAGGAGTGTGGTGGTGGTGGGAGAGGAGTGTGGTGCAGGAAGATGTGAGTCTGAAGGAGGAAAGCTGCCAGGAGGCCTAGTGAGATGGGGTCTGCCTGCAAGCCTGGAGCTGGAAAGGAGGAAAACTCACTGGCCTCCTGAGCAAGGACCACCTGTATGGTAGGGAAGGAACAGCCTGGTAGCAGCAGCCATCCCGCAATACTGGAGAGGATCTGAGTGAGTACACTTGCACCCCCCCCCCCCCGGGGTGGATAGAGGAAGGAGCACTCTAGTGGGAAACCAGATTAGCCCTTTGTTAGTGACTGTGCACTTTATTTAACCACCTCCCGCCCGCCATATAGTAATATGATGGGCGTAAGGTGGTTCTCTCATTCTGGGAGGATGTCATATGACGTCCTCCCATTGTCACTGCACATGCGGGGCTCAGGGGGCGCAGCGCGGCGATCGACGGCGGATCACCGATCACGGAAAGAGCCGACTCAGTCATGTGATCAGCTGTGTCCAATCACAGCTGATCACATGTAAACAGGGAAATGCCGGTTATCGGCATTTCTCTTCTCTCGAGCTGTCACGCTGACAGCTCGAGAGGAGAGCCGGTAATCGGCTTTCCTCGGAGGGGACATGTACACTGATCATCAAGGCACTGATGATCAGTGTGCCCTGATGATCAGTGTAGCCCCAGCAGTGCCACCTGTCAGTGTCCATCAGTGCCTTACGTCAGTGCTCATCAGTGCCTCGTGCCAGTGTCCATCAGTGCCACATCAGTGCCTACCAGTGCACATCAATGCCACATATCAGTGCCCATCTGAGCTGCCTTTCAGTGTCACCCATCAGTGCCAGTCAGTGACACCTATCAATGCCAATCAGTGCCACCTATCAGTGCTGCCAATCAGTGCCACCTATCAGTGCCAGTCAGTACTGCCTATCAGTGCCAGTCAGTGCCGCCTTTCAGTGCCTGTCAGTGCTGCCTAACAATGCCAGTCAGTGCCGCCTAACAGTGCCAGTCAGTGCCGCCTATCAGTGCTGCCTATCAGTGCCATGTATCAGTGCCATGTATCAGTGCCCATCAGTGATGCCTGTCAATGCCCATCAGTGCCTCCTCATCAGTGTCCATCAGTGCAGCCTATCAGTGCCCATCAGTGCAGCCTCATTAGCGCACATCAGTGAAGGAGAAAAATCAATTATTTACAAACTTTATAACAAAAACTAAGAAAAAACATTTTTTTTCAAAATTTTCAGTGGTTTTTGGTTTGTTTAAGAAAAAATAAAAAAACCCTGAGGTGATTAAATACCACCAAAATAAAGCTCTATCTGTCACAAAAAAATGATAAAAATTTCATATGGGTACAGTGTTGTTTGACTGCGCAATGGTCACTCAAAGTGCGACAGCACTGAAAGCTGGAAATTAGCCTGGGCAGGAAGGGGGTATAAGTGCCCTGTAGGCTGGCGGTTAAAGGAACAAGAGCCAGATCATCTGCTCTGGAAGAAAGTCTCGAGATTGCTGCGTGAAAAAATGATTCATCTAGGATTTTGGGTAGAACAACTAGGAGCTGCTGGCTAGCACTCCAACAGAGACTGTGTCAGAGAAAAGAAGCTTTGAATAGTTCAGGAAGTTGTCCTCAGATATTGGTCCCCTTGGGCATTCTATATATCCCTCAGGGGCGGACTGACCATTTGGAAACTCGGGCACTGCCCGAGGGCCCGGGGGTCAGTAGGGGGCCCCATGAGATGCCCCTGGTACCATTTTCATAGGCTTTTTTGAGTTTGGGCAAGGACACAGGGGCCCCATGATCCCCTATTGCCCAGGGCCCCATGAGTTGTCAGTCTGCCCCTGATACCCCTTACCCTATCCAAGTTCTAATCCTCTCAATAAATAACAAAACCAATGCTAAAGGCCTGATTTCTGTCTACGGATGAAAGTTTGTGTGGGAAATGCTGAATTACTGGCTGTGCGGGACTATAGGGGGACCCAAATTCAACAGCAACCCCTAAAGGGGTAGTGCTACACTATCATCCCATATCTTTTCTTCAGGTCTTCCGCAACAAGTCAGGGCATCTTGATCATCCTCAGGGGCCCTTGTTGGGCCCTTTGCCAAAAATACCTGTTTGCACATTGGATGTACATACTATTATTCGTCTTCTATTATATAAAGCTCTTATTATTTCCATACTGGTGTGTGTCTCTACTCTTATGGTTAATGTTACATGCTGGCTGTAGTAGTTCATATGCTTCCACTTACTTTGGTCAGGTTAATTTCCTAGAAAGGGTGTTCCATCTGCTCACAGGGGCCCTGCCCTAGGTGGAGTCACTGCCAGCTTTATTATCAAACCCACTCATCCACTTAGTTAGGTTCTGGCTATCTTATTTACCTACAGGTTTAGTGCAATATCCTGCTTGGGGAAGACCATTTGTCATACTCTCCCCAGAAAGGGGGCTACACACATGATCTGCATTTAATCTCTTATAATTAATAGAAAAGTCATGGCAACTCCCAACTGTCTGTAGCTAAAGCAAAATTCCCAAAATGTAATACCCAGCTCAGGATGAGAAGAGTACATTGCCGTGCCTCCAACTCCCCCCCCCCCCCCCCCCCACTGTACTACAAGGGTTTAATGCTCTTTGGGTCTAGGCAGAGCTGAGGAGGATGTATTACTTACCTTGAACCCCAGCACTGTCCTCTTCTGTCCTTCACCTAATTCCTTCAGAATTAGTATCCAAAGACATAAAGGTGAACAAACAGCTTTTTATTAAGAACAGAAAACAGATAGGAATCTGCAACAAAGTTTGTTAAAGTGCTTGCAAAGTGGGAAATATTGACAAACATTTATATATATAAGCTAAAAATGTATAGCTTATATCACCAAAAATGTGAAATAATTTATATAAAATATAACTCAAACTGTGACTGGAGCTGCTATTTTAAATAAGTTGAAAAGAACATAAATAAGTAAAAATACCATAAACAGCGCTCACTAATTAGATGCCATACTATCCCCAAAATTAAATAAAATACAAAATAATACCAAATATATACATAAATATAAATGTAAATAATACAGAAACCATAAAAATAAATTAATTAATAATAATAACACCTCCACCAAACAGTGCAAAAGTTAAAAAAAAATTCAGTTCATAATATAATGTGAAAAAAAAAAAAATCAGTTCATAAAATCCACCTCAACCGTGATCTCCGATGTGCTCAACACACCATCAAAGTGCAAACTCACCAGATGCTGGTGTTTAATCAGCATTAAATCAGATACCAATAGATGTGGAAATTCATTAAACCAGATCGACTCAGATGTAATAATGATCACTCATCAGATGGTTAATCCAGCTCAAAGTCCATCAGGGAAAGTATAATTCAAATTCCATATGTGGGAAAATAAAAAACACTCGCCATGGCATAATACCGTTTATAAGTTTATTGCCAACAAATACCCCCCTTAGACTAAAACTCACATTGTATAAAAAAACAAAAAGCATTCAATGGTAGATGTAGCTGCAGAAAAAAACGCTAGCTATTTCAGAGTGCGTCTCACCACCCACTCTGTAGATAGCAAATCTCATGGTAGTGGTCACATGGTCCAGCCACATGGTCACGGCGTACGTGGTGACGTCACTGCTGATCATGTTCTTACGCGTTTCGTCACACTATTTCCTCTGAGTGGGAAATACTATTTAAATGGAAATCACCTACACCTACGGACACCATCTGGGAGGACTCCACAGACCTTTGCACCCTTCATAAGGAAGTCAAAGTGCTGCAGGAAAAGGCTAGTGACTTAAAATCTCTTAAAAAGTCTCAAGTGCAATAACCTTTGGGTGCTTGGCTTGCTAGAGAGGATGGAGGGTTCACGGCCTGCTGAATGTGCTAAAAAGTTCCTGTCCACTATCTTGGGCCTAACTGACCTGCTGCCTACATTTGTTGTGGAGCGGGCCCATAATGTGCCAACAACACTGCCGGTCCCAGCGTCCCCTCCTCACCCTTTCCTTCTGTGCCTCCTGAATTAAAAGGACATGGACATGCTACTTGCCATGGCTCGAAGCAAACAAGATCTCACCTATGACAATAGTAAGATTTCCATCTTTCCTGATTGTTCACCTAAAGTCCAACAACACTGATGATCCTTCACTTAAATATATAAGCGTCTTTGAGACCAAGAGCTTAAATACAACATGTTGCTTGAGGTGGTCACAACCTGGTTGGATTCCTGCTAGTCCTCCTGACACAGGGCTCCGGTGGGTCCTTTCAAACTCTTTGTTCCTGGATTGTCAGAAAGTATATTGTTATTGCAGTTGATTGGTACCTGCTACCTGTATATTACAGCTCTTTAGACTGTTTTGCACCATTTTACTACTCCTACTTGTATCCTGTTCATGAAGTCTACAGATTTTTGTTGGCCTTGCATGTCATTTGAGAAGATGTTCCCACTCTTGAGCTCTGAGGATCTTCCTTGAAATTTGGACAACTCTGAAGTTTGTTCTGGTGTTTTTTGCTCAGGTTGCCCATTTTTGACAGGGCCCTTTTTTTCTGCTACTAGGGGTCAGTTGGCTTGCCCCAGGCCCCCCCCCACGTAATAGTGTCATCACTGTGAGTTGTACAAGCACTTTGTTTTAGGTATAGGCCCTGCTCCACCTGATTTATGTTTTGAGTGAGGATGAGTAAGGACAGGGATTGCGCCAAAGGAATTTTTGTTTTTATTTTTGTTGTTCTCCTTGTGTGTGTTGGCTCATATAGCTTTGCTGCCCATTAGATCTTTATAAATGCAAGCAAGTCTTTTTTGAACAAGGTGACAAAAATGGGTGTTTTTTTGGCCTTAATATCCCAACATGACATGCCTGTGATGGAATATCTGTCACCGCGATTAGGTGATTCCATCAGATAACCACTTCCTTGCCACTGAGACACAGGAGCAAGGTATTATGGCTGGGCATTGCACCCAAGACTAGACAAGACTAGCTTGGAGGCCAAAACTGGAATTACAGAAATGCAGTTTTTATACACTCCAGAAATAGGGCCCATCCCCTCATTGGCAATAAAACAAATATTACACTTTGCGTTAAACATCCCACACTGATTAGATAACAAGGTGAAGCTGACAGTCTAATCTCATCATATAGGCACCTCCAGAAGCAATTGCCAACAAACAATAGGTGACTCAATTAACTCAAGTAACCATGGGAATGCACACCTAGGAGGCACACAATGGGAGAAGATAGTTAACACATCACACCTTAATTAACTGATTGGAGCAAGAGTCCTCACATCAGGTTTGTGAGCTGATTATATTAACATTTTCTTAGAGTCTCTGAGTCTAGGAAAGAGGGGGGGTTGAAGGAGTCAATGCTAATTTGGGCACAGAGACCCCAAATCTGTATCTTGGTCCTCCAGTTCTTAGAGTCTGTGTGTTTTAGGGAAACAGGGACTTGAATCCAAAGTAAACTACTCCAAAGGTCCCCCCCAGATACATGTCAAAGAATAGAGCCCTCTCAGATGCCAGGGCCATGGTCAGTAGGCAAGAGGCTAGCCTGAAGTCCCCTCCACAAACCCCTGTCTCGGTTGCGTCTGTCACCTGTGGATCTGCCACTGAGGGGGAGGATGACTATCTCCTCTCCCTGGGGCCACGGAACTGCTGTGGGTGTGGAGCAGAGGTCTTGGACCCTCTGTCCTGTTGCCAGCTCTTCTTCTGGGACTGTGTATGGGCAGAGACTGGTGGCACTCTGCCCCGATGCCAGTGCTTCAACTCGGGTTAGGAGTTCCATTGTATCGGCCTCCTGCTGGGGAGAAGGGCTGCATGCCCTGGCTTCCTGGAGCTCCAGAAGAGCTGTTGGTGCTGAGCAGAGGTCCTTGATGCCAGCTGTTCCACTGGAAAGTAAAATGAAAATTCGGTGGACTCGCACAAATCCTCCAGGTCCACTGCTTGTTGTAGGCAGAGGCCAGCTGCGCTCTGCCTTGATGCCAGCTCTTCTGCTGGAGGCTCACTGGGTTGCTCCTCGTTATTAGAAAAGGCTAATAAATTCCCAATCTCTGGGATTGCTGAAAATCCAGGGCATGGCCTGGCAGTACTTTTGCCCAATGCCAGCACTTCGGTGGGTATCTCATGATCCATAACATCCATGGGTGCTGGGGCATACTGTTAAGCTTTATCGAACAGTCTTTAATATGCTTGTTCCAGCTCCCATTCCTGAAGGGCTAGAAACTCCATATCTTCTTGTGTCGGGCGCACTTCCGAGATGTTCAGCATCTGGTCTCCGTAATCCATGATTTCCACCAAACGTCATTCCAGATCAGGGTCCCGTGACAGCTCCAGTTTAACAGCCCCAAGCAGTCACAACCAAAGCCTTCAGTCGAGCTGTCGTCTGCTATCCAAGGGCACGCTTGGGCTACATGTCAGCGGATCGCTCTGTAGCTCTCATCCAGCAACATCTCTGCCCGGACCAGCCTGCTTAATTCAGCTGTCCACTCCTTGTGCAGTTGTTCCCCCAATAACAGCACCCGCACTTCGTACTGCAACCAGTACTTTTCCTGGATAGACAGGAGAATTTTCCCTCGGCAGTGCTGCTCTCAGTCTAGCTCTTCTTTCCAGAGCTGCTGGCAGACAGTCATTCCATCCCAGCAGGACCTGCACTGGCATTGGTCCTCTGTGCTGCACTTACATCTCTTGCCTCCTTACAAATTTCTCTTTCATGGTGGCTGGTGTCTGTACCTCTCCTCTTCTGCTAACTGGACCTCAGATCCCAGAGGTGGTTTGGATGTCCTAGACTGCAGAAAACATCCCATTGCTTGCCACCAAATGTGATGGAACGCATGTCACCCAGATTGGAGGATTCCATCAGAG